CCGAGCTCACGGCTAGTCGCGACGCGGCGATCTCGTCGCAGACGTCCACGACAAGCGAGCTTGCTGCTGAAATCGCTGAGGCAAAGACCGCGACAGCTGCTGCCGAGGCCGCCAAGGCCAAGTGCGACTTTACGATCGCTACTTTGGAGACTCAAGTCGCGAACCTCACTGCGGTCAACGAAGCGTCCGTGGCGACGACTGCAGAACACCAGGTGGCGTTGGCCGAACTGACGGCCGCAAAGTCGACTGTCGAGACGCAGCTCCACGACGCTACTACTGCTGTGGAGGCTGTCCAGGCCGAACGCGACGCGATTGCGGCGTCGGTTGCTGCACTCGAGTCGTCGTTGCGCGAGGCGTCGACTCGTCAGGCGGCTGCGCATGCCGAAGTCGAGGCTGCGCTCGCTGCCAAGGCGACTGCTCTGGCTGCTTTTGACGGCAAAATGGCCCAAGACGCGGCGTCGTTGGCGGCTCTCAAAGAGCAATTGCACGAAACCAGTGCGAACCACGCGGCGACCGTAGCACGTCTCGAGACGGAGCTCGACCAGACCCGCGCCCAGCTGACGGTACACCTCACTGTTCGAACACCGGATCCACAAGGTTGTGTTTGTAGGAGACACGAACGGCTCACGACGCCACGATCGCGGCGTTGCAAGCCGCGCAAGCCACGGCCACTGCGCAGCACGATGCGGCGTTGGCCACGCTTCAAGCCTCGCTGACCGATGCGAACGACCGGCATGCGGAGCTTTTGGCGGCCGAGGCAAGTCGCACGCGCGCTGCTGAAGCCGCTCTTGCCGATGCGAATGCAGAGCGCGGTGCCGTCGAAAGCAAGCTGGCGGAGGCCCTCAAAGCCGAATACGAGGCGGCCCTTGCGAGGACAGCGGCGGCGTCGACGGCTGACTTGGAGGCTAAGCTTCATGCCGCCGAAGCCCAGCGTGCTGCGCTCGAAGCGGATCGCGATGCGCGTGCGGCGCAGCTCCTCGACGCCATCGATGCTGTGCAGGTCGCCAAGACCGAGCACAACGCTGCTCTCGCCGAGGTAACTGCGGAACTTCGCGCGCTCAAGGCCCAGTACGTGACGCTCGAGGCTGTCAAGAACGAGCGTGACGTTGCTGCCGAAGGGCTGGCTCAAATGGTGCGTCAGCTCCAGGAAGACAAGGACGCGCATCAGGACCGCGCCCAGAACCTGGAGACGCAGCTCATCAAGCTCGAAGAGGAGCTCGTCGCGGACAAGGTGAGTGCCATGGTTCTGTCAGCTCATACGGGTGTTGAAGCTCATGCGTTTGCATAGGCAACCATTGCGACGCAAGTGGCCATGATCAAGTGCCTTCAAGTCGCTCCCCGCGCTGTTGCGGCTGTCTCGTCGGTGGCGGCGAGTGCGGTTCTGGCGGCCGCCCCCAGCGAGAGCGCCAACGTCAAGGTATGATTTGCCACTAGACAAAATCCATCTGACGGTATTGATCTAGTCGCATGAGAGCAAGCTAGCGACGCTCCAAGAACAGTTGGAGACGCTGCGCACCGTGCATAAGTCGGCGCTGGGTCGCGACATTGACGTTGACGCAATGGAACTGGCCGCGGTACCGACGCACTCCATCCTACCATCGCATTCAAAAATCTGTGTAGAAGTGCGCCACTATGATCAAGACAGACGTGGCGCCGGTAGTCGAGGCGACGGCGCCCAAGACGCGGTCGCTTCCGTCGGGCACGCTCTCGCGGTCGATCCAGACGGGCTCGGCGGCTGAAATCGAAAAGCTCAAGGCCGAGATCAAGGAGCGGGAGGACCGTCTCCGCGAACTGACCAAGACTGTACGTACAACAGCGTCGTCGACGACCGTCCTCTTGCCGCGAACGCTCATGTGGTGCTAGGACCCTCACTCGACGCGTGGTGCGGGCTTCCTCGCCTCCAAGTCGACGGCGACCATGGCGCTGCTCCTCACGGTGTTTTGCGTCAAGGAGCTCGTCGCGCTCCGCTTCAAGTAGATATAATACTACATCGACATGTAATACAGAGTCCATTACGACTGCGCTGGGAGTGGCAAGCACATGACGCGCCCGAGGCCCTTGTGCATTTGCACCTGATGCAGTACGTTTGTATCAATGTATCGAGAACATGCCACGTTGTACCTGGATGGTCTCGCCACCGAGGCGCTCGCCGTCAATCGAAATGTAGTTGGTGTCGGTGCGCCGCAGTTGGTAGGCCCTAGTACGTCTCGTCAATTCGCCATCACACCACCAAGGATGCGCAGTCTACCGCGTCTTGATCACTTGAACAAACGGGTACTCGATGTGCGCGCCCGTATCAAGACCCAAGAGCAGTTTGGTCTGGGCCACCATCGAGAGGTTCTTGGGCGCCGCGACAATGTGAATCAAGCCGTCGTTGATGTGCGCACCAGGCGCGAGGTGACAGTCGGACGACGGAAGCGCCGCGCTTGTCGCCCAAAAGAACGAATACGGTCCTTCGATCGTCTTCCAATGCGTTGGCACGGGCGCCGAGATGTCATGCAACAGGTGGAGCTCGGGTGCCGACCCACGTGGCGTCGGGTTGCTCTCCCAGTATGCACTGTCGCTGCTCTCGTCGGCCTCGAGTGGTAAGTACGAGAGCGCGCCGTGCCAGCGCTTCCAGGAGAGGACCTTGGCCACGGACGCCATCGTGAAGCGCGCGCCGCCGAGAAAGCGGTACGTCTCCGACTCCAAGTCGACGTCCGCGACGAACGCCCATGCGAGCGAGAGGAAGCTGTAGAATGTCTCTTGCTCGGCATTGCCTACGCAGCAGCTCAGGCAACGAAGGCCACAATTGCGTGACGTACGCGCCGTCATCATGTCGATGGGCTGCGGCGCGCCCTTGACGATCAAGTACGCGCAGTTTTCTGGCTCAAAGGCCTCGCCGAGCAGCTTTGTGAGCGACTGTGTGAGACCATTGCCCGAGCCGCCCGGAATGAGCTAAATGGCACCTCATTAAGCCACACGTGATGCAGCAAGGGCAGGTCTACCCCAAATGGAAAGCGAATCGCGTCGTGCCAGTCTTGGCGCCGCATGAGGCCCTGCACGACTACGTCGGTGGCGTTATCGCAACCGGAAGGCAAGAGGAATCATGATTTCTACCTTCGGAAGCGAGCCCGTCACCGCCGACGCACACCATAAAGTCGTACGCCGTCAAGTTTAGCGTGCGCCCAATCTCGGTCGCGTGGCCCGCATACTCGGTGCACTGCGTCGTCACGTCAATGTGCGTTGCATCAAAGAAGCCGCGCACGCTCTCAAACATGGCTTCCGACTTGCCTGAGAACAGAGAACACATGAGTCAACCTCGCGCCCCTTCCGCGCCTGTCACTGTACCCGAGCCACCGACGGGGTTGATCAGCACAAGGCATTTCTACGCCTGCATTGGCACTCGATGCCCTTGGAGCGAGAGAGACGTACCCGGGGTGCTGGCGTCGCGTGCAAAAGGTCGTCGAGGCTGCGCTCTGGTGCCCAGCCGAAGCGCGCCAGAAAGGTCGTCGCGACGGCCACGTGAGCCAATAAGGTCATGTCGTCGCTCTCGGCCACAAGCTTACGAAGCGCGCGCTTGCCATTGCCCCGGCGCGGGCACGTGTGGATCGTGAGCATGGTCGCGGTCGCTGTCGCGCCAAGGACGTCGGCCCATGCGATCGTCGTCGGCAGCGCGTCGCCACGCTCAAGGACAAGCCCATCTTCTTGCAGCGAGAGGCTCACGGACTCGCCATCGACCGTACAGGCAGCGTGCAGGACGGTCGTCGAGGTCATGGCGCAGAGGAAAGCGGACTGAAGCCGGTTACGACTCGGCTTCTCGACGGTTGGCGGGACGTTGAAGAATCACGACGAGATTACGCGTTCCTAGACTAAAATCACGCCACCGCGTCAACGTGCCTCGCGTAATCAGGGACGCACATTCGAGCTGTTTACACAGCGCGGCTCGTGAATGATTTCGGCCCAGATGAGCTGCACGACCCGGACGAGTTGCGTGCGTCTAGCGAAAGCCGGAGAACATCGGACATCCGGATAATTGCGAGAAGACCGGATAATTGCGCGGCGATCATCGTCCGGATACAAAACCGGGCGAAGATCATACGGATAAGGATATGCGGAGACCGTCCGGATGCTGTAACTGTCCCATCCTCACGACGTGGGATGGCGACGACGACGGCGCCACGGACGCTCCGGTCGCGGAAGAGCACGCATGAGAAGGGCGCCGCGCAAGGTACGGGCATGGGCGTGGCATTGGTCTCATGGCACCTAGATTCAGCGGCGCACAAGCACCGGGCGTCGCGCAAGTACGAGCTGCCGCCCGTGCAAACGGTCTTCAACCAAGAGTTTATCGACTTTGACGTCATCAAGGGGTATCCGCCCATGGTGCGATGCATGGCTCATGGACGATGGCATGTAGATCGGCCTTCTTCAACACCAAGCCGAGCAAGTACGACAAGCGGCTCGTGCGCCAAGGCTTTTACCGTGCGATCTTGTTTCCGTTCTTTCCCGAGTACTGGACGCAAAAGGTGGTTGGCGAGCGTAGTCTGCTGGAGCGCTCAGAGGTGTCGATGAAGTAGAACTTTGTGTTCTACTACTTGGCCTCGGCCGTGTACCTTGGCCACCTCTGCGTCACCATCTGGTACTTTTGCGGCGACACGACGAGCGCATCGACGCTCACGTCGTTTGAGGTCTGGGCGCCGTACGTGCTCTTGACGCTCACGTCGTGCGGCTATGGGCGCGTCTCGTCGCTCGTCCTCTCGGCCGACCCCGACGGTCACATTACGCTGCAATTGAACTCCCCGACGTCGCCGGCGCCAACGGCCAAATTGTCGGCCACCATCAAGCGCGAGCATGAAGGGCTGGACACGGCGCTGCTCGAATCCGAGGGGTCGTCGCAGGAAAGTGGGGACAGTGACAGCGACGGCGGCGCCTCGTCCTCGAGCGACGAAGATACCGACGGCATCAAGCACGGCAACGCGCCACCCAACGGGGGCTCGCCACTCGACGGCGACGTAAGATCTCCTTCGTCTCGCTTGCATGGCCGATCATCGTCGTCTATAGCGCCGCACCACGCGAAGCTTCAGCGAACCGCCCTTTGGCGATACGTTCACGCACCGCCGTGTCAAGGTCGTTGTTTGGAAAGGGGGGATTCCGATTAAAGAGTCGATGACGATTGCGGAGCTGCGGTCCAATATCTTGCTCAAAGTATGGCGTCCCATCGTGTCGTCTTATGCATTTGGGGTAGGTCAAAGCCACGCCGCCGCGGTCGCTGTACCGCATTGCGGCGCGCACGAGTGCGACGATCATTGCCTTTGTGCCGTGGACGCACCGGGCTCTGAGCTACTCGACCGAGCACAACATTGACGTGTACGACCCCAAAATGATCTTTGAGGTGCGTTTGAAGGCACTTGGGAACGACGCTGACGACGGCGCGTAGCATGTGCGTTCGGTCGTCCTGGCTCTTTTGACGATGCCGCTGGCGACGCTCGAGCGTACGCTGTGGCTGCACATGGGCCTCTATGCTGTCGCGGCGCTCTCGTGCACTATCGCAACGTTTATCTTGGCCTCGCTCATCTTCTCTGCGCTCGCGGACGCCGAAGTCACGTACCACCGGCGCTTCCTGTACAGCCACTGAGATAGAATGCAATAGTCTCATACGAGCACCGTGTAGATACGCCAAGTGCTTTACGGCGCTCACGTCAGCACGACGGTCCCGGGCGTCGCATTTGCCGCACTTTCGGCTCAAGAACGTCGTCAACATCAAGGCGTGGCTGAGTCTCCGCGGCGGTCGGTCGTGGCTCAAGCGCCAGGGCCGGCAGCGCGCGGCCGACGAGATCGTGTCGACGTCGTTTCTTATTGTGTTGCTTTTCCTCGCCGTCATGGGCGTCCAAGCCGTGTCCGAGACGCTTCCGAGCTCGGCGTCGCTCTTCTCGACGCTCGTGCACACGGAAGTGACGCTGTGGTGTCTCCTCTCGAGGTACGCTCCATGTCGACATGGGAAGCTCGAGTGCTCGCATAGCTTTTTCCTCTTGCGGTTCATGATGCTCGGCTCCAACATCAACCGCAAGTACCAGAACACGTCACTGCTCTTGACGGAGCAGATGAACGTGTATCTCAAGCTGCTCATGACACCGCACAAGAAGGAGAAACTGCTCATCTCCAACAACGTGCTCAAGCTCGCGTCCAAGCTCCTCAAGGTAGACGGAGGCTGCGTTCACGACCAGGAACTTCATGGCACTGGCGTAGGAGCTCAACTCGCCCAATAAGATTTCGGGCTTGACGATGAACCCGCTCTTGTACAACATCACGCGCGTCGTTGTGCTCTCGGCGTTTTCGTCGGCGCTCTCGGAGATGTTTGGCTTCAAGTTGAAGCTGTGGAAGATGAAAGTCTAACACCCAAGAAGCGGTGCGCGTCTTTGGGGTCCCAAGGTGTCGAGAGGCGGACTCGACTGCGTGCCGACGACACGTTCGGTTCCGTGGGTTCCGTCATTGACACGAACCAAGTCCAGAAAAATAGAGACCGCAGCTGCGTCTTTCAGGATCAAGCGTGCGTTCCCTTCGGTTCTAGCTTCGAGAGAGGGCTGGGTAGAAATATATGAGGCTGCAGAGACGCCAACAGCACGCTGGCTCTTGGTGCCAAATCGAGAATTCGCTCTATCCGTTTGGGATCGAATGGGTGCGCTTGACGATGAACGCCGAGTCTCCGGTCGTCGTCGTTTGTTCTTTTTTTCAACACCCTCTTCTTCCCATGCGAAGGCCTCGCGGGCGAGATGGCTTGCGTCGCATATTGTTAGCGTCCGAGTGCCAGCGCGTGCAGCTAGGTGCAATGCTAAACTGTGTGCTGGGTGCATCGCCAATCAAGGCACTCTAGAGCCAGGCGCGCCAAGGGCAAAATCGATTTTCTTTGCATGGGCGGCTCTGCCGTGGACAATAGAAACGCAATCGCCAGCGGCAAGAGAGGGAACTTCCACCTGCTTCCTCGTTACGCCTGGTCCCAACGACCAGCCCTCGACGACGGCCACATTGCCGTATCTTTTCGCGGCAAACCGCCCGCCAGCCCGTCATCGAATTCGCGCCACATCACGTCTCGGCCAATCAAAAGTGAGCGAACAATGACTCGGATCAGAAAATTCTACTCATCTGTGCGAATATAGATTACTGCACCACCATGTGCGCAAGCCAGCGCCAAGAAGACATAGCAATCTGTCCAGCAAGCTGGCATCAAAGCGTTCCTCTTCATCGACACATCGTAAGTAGAAGGCCTTTATCGTCTGCTCGCCGACCACAGGTGCGATGCGCGTAACGCGACGTGTTAGACTGACCAGGTGCGTCTTTTCTGTACAATTGCCGTTGTGACGGCGGTTATAACAGCGTTAGTAGCACGGTCCGGATGTCACGACCACGTGGTGGCTTCGGTTGGCACCGGACCTGGCGCAGAGCCGGAGTGCGCCGTCCCGTGGCCGCCGCTGACATTCAGTCGCTGATTTCGCCACCGCTTGGGACATGAGCTGCAAGCGTGGTCGCCCGTGCGAGACGAAGAACGTCGAAGGCCTCTCGCTCGCCTTCAAGCTGCGCAGCCTCGTGGTCGAGGCCCACCTCTCGGACCTCAACGCGTCCGTCATCGAGAAAAACCTGGTCGCGATCGCGAATGAGCTCGCGACGCTCTGCGCCTTTGGCATCCAGCCCGAAGACCGCTGCGTGCGCTTCCTCGTCATGGCCAACGACCGCATCGCCAAGATGCTCGCCAAGAAGGACTTGGCCTGGACCGCGTCGCCGCATGCGATCTGGAGCTTCGCCAAAGCCTCGGTGCTCGGCTCCAAGCCCGGGAACGTCGACGCGTGCTACGCGGCCGAGGTCCAAGATATATCTGTGCTTTGGCACGAGATGCTCCGCGTCAAGGACAAGGCCGCGGACCTCTGGAAGCGAGAGAAGCTCGAGGAGGCGCTGCCGTATCTGCACGCGGCCGACGCGTACTTTAAGCGCATCCACCTCAAGCACCAGAAGCTCAACATTGACCACGCGATCATCGACTGCCACGTGGAGCCGGTCGCGAAGAAAGCGAAGGCCCACCGCGTGTCCTTCTCCGATACGCCGCTTGTGCTCGGGACGGCCCAAGCTGACGTCGACCGGACGCCCATCTGCCCGTCCAAGCCAACGCAGCTCGAAGCGCTCTTGCTTCGTGCGACGCGCGAGTTCCCCATGCCGTGCTTGTAAACTAGAGATGCTTTATTTATTAACGTGAACCTCGACGCTGAGCTCTACTAGCACCAGTGTACTGGTGTCCTATGGCCGCTCCATGAGACTTGTCCATGCACGACTAGAAGCATCAACCTACGCAGAGTGTAGGCCACGCACCGTTCCTGTGCAGCTGCCTCATGCAAGATGCAGTGCGCGCTCGGTCCGTATCATGCATGACCCATGGTCCGTATGCAGCCGCGTCGAGATCCTCGGCGGCTCGCATCATCCGGATACCGAGCCCAAACGGCGAACGACAGCAGCGAGCATGGCGACGACGGCGCTGTACGCGGAGTTTGGTACGACAGCGCTTCTTTGGTACGATGGATGGCCATACGCAGGTCGGCGCTGGTAGACATTGACAAGGGCAGCACGCTCCGCGCGAGCTACCCGGCCGCGATCGACGCGCTCGAGGCGACGGTCCATCGGCCACCCGAGTTTTTCGCCGACATGATGCTGCCCGAGGGCGTCCACAACCGCGAAGAAGACTACACCGTCTTCTTCATTCACGAGCCCGAGAGCGTTCAGTATTGCTTGAGTGTCGTCAAGACCCAGCACGACGCCAACGTCCGCCGCGGCGCGCGAGTCAAGGCCGTCGCCATTAGCTCGTCGTACCAGGCACGCGCCCGCCTGTCGTGCCGACTGCTCGCTGAATATGGCATGTGTTGTAGTTTTGCTACGCCTTCAAGCCACTGGTCGTGATGGCCGTCGACAAGCTTTTTGCACTGCGCTTGGATGCACCCGAAGCCGCGACGACGGAGATCCTGCAAGGCCTCTTTGACGCGATCAACCGCGTCGACGTCTCGGGCGTCACGTGCCTCCAGCGATCACCAGTCGAAGTGCGCTTGCTGAAGCGTTCGATGAGCGCCAAGCCCCTCAGTGGCGACATCCGCACGTCGGACGAGTGAATACTTTGATCCTACGGCGTTCAAGTCATGCAATCGACTACGATAGGTCGCTCGTCTTCAAGACGCAGGCGCTATGGGACGGCGCCAGCGTCCCGCTCCAGATCAAGCTCTGCAGCACGCACGACCAAGTACAAAACCAATCATTTTCAAAGCGGTATCGAGTCCCGATGTAGCACGAGGAAGGCTTGCTGCTCGACCTCATCGCCAAGTTTGGCGCCGAGACCATGACGCTGTACAACGCCGTCTTGACGGGCGCCCGCATCATCATGCTCGGCTACACCCTTCCCGCCGGTGCGCATGCGATGATACATGTGCTGCATTGGTTGCTTATTGGCATGTGGCAGGCGAAGTGTGCAACTACGTGCTCTCGATGAGTGCGCTCCTGTGCCCGCCGCTCGTCGGCGTCCTCTACCGGCAGTTCCCGTACGCCAACTTGACCGACTTGGCGTTCCTCGAAGTGCCGGGCTATATCGCCGGCGTCACCAACCCCATGTTCAAGGGCAAGAAGGAGTGGTGGGACGTGCTCTGCGACCTCTCGAGCGGCGAGATCTTGACCAACCTCCCGATTGAGAAGGACGACGCCGACGCGTCCGACCACGACTTTATCCTCGAGGTACTACGTCGCAAGAGGCAAGCCGTGACGCGATCGAGATGGAGATAGGTCATGGACGGCATCGCGGCCGGCTTTAGCGAGGAGTGGGTGCGCTGCATGTTCGAAGACTACACGCGCCTCAACATCACCGACATTGTGACGGGCGAAGCGCACTTCATGGACCGTGACGCCCAAGGTCGGCGCACGGCCATCAACAACCGCCGCATCACCAAGTGGGCGCGCACTGAAAACTACGAGCGCTTCCAGGCTGCGCGCGCTGCGCTGGCGCCAACGACCCCGGCCTTTGACATATCCTTCTTTTCCGCTCTCTTTTCACCTTGGCTCTACGGTAACATGGGTGTCCTTGACGACGATGCTACGTTAAAGCACGGGGCGTCGACTTGCGCCGGCACCTCCAAGTGCTTCTGCACGAGCGTGTGCTAGACGATGCGCTCGTCGAGCTCATGTACGCCGACTTTGTGTCATTCCTGCACACGGAAGCCGAGCTCAAGGAGCTATTAAGCCACTTGCCGCGCGCCCGCGGTAGCTCCTGCGCGGTGCACATCATGCGCAACGATACTCGTGTGTAGGCGGGCTCCACGTGATCGCCCAAGGTCTCTTCCATGCGTCGTTCAGCGTCCAGTACAACACGATCGTCTTGCTCAAGCGCTGCGAAGCGTTTCCGGCGACGGCGACGGCCGTGACCAGCCTCAACCCGTTCGTGGCCATGACGTACGCGCGCCTGCACCGTTGCTTGGTCCAGCCCACCGTCTAGCACCATTCCATTCGACTACCATAGTGCATCATGTTCATCGTCGTCTTTGTCTTGTTGTGCTACCTTCCACATGCTGTCGTCGTTGCTGCTCGGACGTCGAGAGGAAGCGTCCCATTGTCATTTCCAGCGTTCAGATCGAAAACGCTCTACCGCTCGATTCCAGCTGGCATCACGCTGCCACTTGGCTTGGTCGCGTCGCGACGACGATGGCAAGCATCGCGGCCATTCATTGACGAGCTCGGCGAGGAGGATGGGCACGGCCGCGACTGCCTGGTCGCGTGCGTACTTGGCGTCGCTTATCGCAGCAGCTTGCGGACGCAGCTAACATCACCGCCAGCATAGCGCTGCCGCCACGTCGGCCGTTCGCGGCGACGGCGCGGCCGAGCACGGCCGGCGACGCCGACGCTGCGGTATCTTCACCGACGATCCATCTGGCACGGGCGTTCTTTTTGGACCAATTTTGGCCAATCCGGTCGCGGGATTTCCCTGCCGTCATGAACAAATCTCAAAGTCAATTTGTCAGCATGCGGCCGATGGACGCGTACCTCGTGGACCTCTGCGGGAGTACCCTCGGTAGATGATGCTTCTCCATGAAGACGAGGACGATGCTCATGAAGATGCTGCGAATGTAGTCATGTCGGTCGGTGGCATGAACGCGTCCACGATCGACTCCCTCGTGCGCACGATCCGGTTCCCGGAGCAGCTTGCCCGCGTCTTCACCGACTTTGTCGGCGTCGTCGACGAGCCGCAGCAGGTACCTGTGGGCATGCACCTTGCGCGAAGCTCATTAGGAGCATGTAGATCGAGCTCCTCGACGCGCTGACCTTTATGGTACGTTACGCCATGCAGTCGTATCATCCTCATGTGCGCCATCGTAGGTCAAGCACGAAGCGGCGAACGCGCAAGCGTGCACCCAAGTCGCTTTCCACCGCCAGATCGTTGCCTTCCTTGAAACGCATGCGCTCCTCCTTGGGTTCTCGCGGCCCGTCTTGAAGAAGATCCTGGCGCTCTTGATGCAGATTGCGCAGTACTCGGTGACGGCCGACGATATCCGCGCGATGCTGCAGGTGTTTCAGTCGCCGCGGTATGCTGTTTCGCATGCTTGCAGTCGCAGTCTCAATGATCATGCGTAGTTGGGAGGAGGTGGCGCCCGACGACAACGCGGTCGCGACCTTTATCGCGTCCATGGAGATGATGGCCCGGAGCGCGCCGGGGCCGTCGTGGTACCTCGACCTCTCGGGCGATCAATCGGGCTTTGTCGTGCCCTCGATGGAGACGGTCGCGTTCCCGCCGTCGGGCTACACGCTCTCGACCTGGATCCGCGTCGAGTCGTCGCCCGGGATGAACTCGCCGCTCTTTTCCTTTTGGTAATGAAATCGCAATTCTTGGTATCCTCATGGTCGTGTATACGTAGCACCGAAGGCAACGTCGGGGTTGAAGTGAGCTTTATGGACACGACGCTCATCGTCAAGAGCTTGGACGTCAAGAAGAACGAGTACAACGAAGCCCAAGTGCCCAACGCGCTCGTCAAGCACCAATGGTACTCGCCCTGCATGCCAGCCTCTCGGATTCAAGTGTCTGTGAAGGCAATGGATCTGCATCGTGCACACGTACCGTCAGTTCCGCGGCTCCAAGCTCGACGTGTACGTCAACGGCGACGCGCGCCAGTCGTTCCGGTTTGGCTACCCCGCGATTGCGACGACACCAGGAACCAAGATGAAGTGCTACGTGGGGCGCACCAAGAACAACTACAGCCGGTGCCTCATTGCGCACGTCGGGTCCATCGCGTTCTTCTCGCAGCCGCTCGCCGCTTCGGTCCTCGAAGGGTACGTTATCCATGAAAGGCATCACGTATCTACCTCGCCCACTAGCATCAAGTCGGCCGACGACTACGATAATGTCGTTTTGCAGTTTAACGCTGCCGTGATGTCGTCGTCGCTCACAACGTCGGCGCCGCTCTCTGGGTACGATCTGCGGGCGCATTGTCATCGACACTCAGACTGTGTAGAGGGAGCGCGGCCGCAGCTCCGTCGGCGCCAACATCGACCGGCGCGCCCCACGAAGGCCTTGTCTTTGCCTTTGATGCGCGTAGCTACGACGAGAAGCGCAAGCTGCTTTTGGACGCGAGCGGCAACATGCACCACGGCGAAAACATTGGGTCGGTGCCGTCCGTGCGCTTGCGGACGATTTCGACGTTCAAGGACTCGGTGTGGCAGATGGGCGGACCCATGATCTTTCTGCCGCTGTTTGTGTCGCCGCAGGCCGAGGCCGGACCACTGGACCTCAATGCGTGCCAGACCATCACGCGCCCGCTCGGGCCGCTCTCGATCCCCAAGATGATCTCGCTTCTCGCCGAGACCCTTCGTCATTCGACGATCAACAAGGTGCGCGCGTGTGCGATTCGGAATCTCATTGTAGACTTTCGCCTAGTTTGTGTGCCGCCGCAGCCAAACGATTCCTCTGCTTGCGCTCTTGTTGCGGTCGCTTCCGACGACGTACTTGACGCCCGATTTGCTGAGCACGGTCGAGCGACTCTTGAGCGCGGTGGCGTCGGACCGGTACCTCAGTGATGACATCCAGAAGAACTTGCTGTACAACTTTCAGCTGTGGGTCCCGGCGGCCGTCGAGAGTCAGGTAGAAACATACTCGATGGCAATGGAAGCTCATGGTCGTATAGAACACGATCTTTGAGAAGCTGCACATGTCGATCAAGAAAAACATCGTGTCGAGCGCCGTCATCTCGATTCGGTACATGCTGCGCATGCTCTCGTCGGTCTACTGCAAGTCGAACCTTACGACC